TTTTAACTTCGAATGCGTGTAGTGTCGCCGAGCATACGATCATCTGCAATCTTTTGCCGTCTGACGTAATTTTTGGGATTTGTCTATGCAGACGGTCGATAAGTTAGGTGTAACCCTGTTTCAATAATCCGTCAGCTTCGTCCAGCACAAAGAACCTTGAAACATGTATTAATATTTATCCCAATCTAATATTATTTCTTTAAAGTTTAATGATAAAAAAAATAAATAAATTACCTGCAATGTGTTAACAACAAGTAACCGCCTTGTATGAGATCCTCCAATCGTCCGGGAGTCCCGACTACTATGTCCACGCCGGAATTCAAAGTTGCAATCTGTTCTTTCACGTTTACTCCACCGATGACAAGCAGTTCTCTGATCGTCGGATCTTTAAGGTGTGTCTTGAACTGAAAAATAAAAAAGACCGCTTTATATTAGTACCATTATGCAGTCTTGGATGGCAAGTTTAGTGGCAAATTTTCATTTACCTTCTGAATTTGATTGTAAGTTTGTTCAGCTAATTCACGAGAAGGCTCTATGATGATCGCCTGAGGCGCGTTATTCTTTGGTTTACCACTTTCTTTAGACGCGCTCTGATTGCTGTTAACAATATTGTGCTTGACAGATTCTTTTGGAGCCGAAGATACAGCCACATAATCATTTGGAGGTGGATGCTTAAACGGTTGAGCTCCAAAATTGAAGGCCATCTCGGCGTTCTTCAGTACTACAGCTGGATAGTAAGTCTGTGATTTTTGCTGCGCGTTTAATGTAAACGCGACGCCCAAATCTACGCCGTTCTTGGTAAATTTTATTTCGCCTTTTACCAAATCAAGAAAACAACCAATCACATCGTGCATCCCAAAGGCCTCTCCATAATTATCAAATTGCTTCGCATTCGATTTCTTTCCCGTACCACCGAATCCATAACCGAATTTATCTGTTCCTAAATCCAAGGCAGCCTATTTCAAGAAAAATACACTTAATAAAATTCTTCTCATCATAATAAGTAAAGATAATTTGTTACATCACTTATAAAGACACTCGCCTGAGATGTAGACCAGCCTACTCGGCATAAACCTTCATCGGTGACCGTTGCTTCAAAAAAATACTTGCCACTTCCCGATATCCCTTTATTTGCGCGACAGCCATGCCATTCTTTTTGTTCTCTACTTTGACATCTTAAACCATCCAGCGTTACTGCCATGGCTTGTCCTCTATCAAACAGGCTCAGTCCCCAATGTGTCGCTACAAGATAATAAAATATTTATACTACTTTGAAAAATAAATCTTACAAGTTTGGACTTTTTTCAAAATTTAATACACACATTGTTGAACTACAGCAGCCCCACCTCCCTTGCCAGATTCTAAATCTTTAAGAGTCTCCCAAACTATTTGCAAAATAGGCAAACAGAAAGCACCAGTTTTTCCACTACCAGTTTCTGCAGCCATAAGTACATCACCGCCACCCAATATCAGTGGGATAGCTTCAGCTTGAACATCTGTTGGTAGTCTGTAAGTCATATATTTATTTTAACACTAAGAATGTAAATTTTTTTTCTCTGATACATGACATTTTGAAATTGTAGAATTACATCTCGATCCTATCTTTACTTACGTCCATTCCATCTCGTCAACTGCTTTTGCTATTTCCGGCAAAACACCCATTTCTAAAACGTAAAAAAGATTAATATACGATTCTGATATAAAATATATATAACAATTATTGCGCAAATTGACACAACTAAACTGACATTTTTCACAGTTGACGTTACAATACAAGTAACTTATTATTGTCATACCTTCGAAAGCAGTCATTCTGCTTCAATTGTGTTTATCTTGATACGTATAAAAATGCCAAAAAATTATTCTAAAATAGAATTGTGATTACTAAGTGTATGTCAGCAGTCAGACCCGGTCTGTGTTCGCGATGTTTTGAAATATCTCGAATAGGTTAGTTTTGATATTAATGCTTGTCACCAGATGGTTCTGCCATGTCAATATTAAACATTCTGCATTACGAAGCCATCGCGGCGTTTTTCGCAACACCGACAAAAGTTTCACGACGAGATTTATGTTGGCTGCCCTTTTTGCAATCAGGATAGGCAACTGAAGTGACACTCCGAAATTTCCTAGATCCGCGGATCTTTGGTCAACTTCGGTTGCCTATCCTGATTGCGAAAAGGGCAGCCAACATAAATCTCGTTGTGAAAAAGTGAAAAGCATGAGAGCGGCTTTCCCGCCATTTTTCGCACCGGCAAGAGTTACACACGTGTACTGTAGAATAGAATTCTGTTAAATGTTTTTAAAGGATTTACGGAGCTTTACCAGTCAAACGATAATTAAAGTCATTGCAACTTAGCAACATCATTTGCAACATATCAAATTATCTTGTCTGTGTCAATCCTCGTTTGAAGGTAGATATCAGGAAAGAAGCAAAGAAGCATATAGAATCTAGGCTAAGAACGGCAATAACTCTCATTTTAATATATCTTTGAGCGATATTGAAGTAATTTTGCCCAAGTAATTTTACATAATTAATTGTTTAATTGTTATGATATTATATGACATCATTTTTTATGAATTTTATATAAATCAACAGAAATCACACACACATAAGCCGTATAAAACTAATTTGGAACTATGGATTCTAATTCAAGAGGGAAAGACGATACTTTTACGTCTATTCATTCCATGGAAGAAACTTATATGAAAAATTACACAGAAGCAGAAGCTGAGGAATATTTAAGAGTAAAAGAATTATTATTTTATCACACATAATTTTTCATAGCAAATTTATAGTTACAATTTTTATACATATATAATTTTACACACACGCGCCACACACACACACACACACACACACCACATAAATATTATTATGTATATTACGTATATAAATTGATGTATTTAAAAAGATCTTGAAAGTATAAGAGGAGAAATTATGTTTCTCTATTTTATAGTATATGAATAATAGAGGTGAAAAGGATTCCGAGTTAAATATGACATTTCAAGAATTAGAAGACAATATGCAAAAATTTTATGTAGAAGACCAAGCTAAAGTTTATCAAAAATGCAGTCATTCTTACAATTCAAAATCTAATCTATCTACGCTAGCCATGAAGGATAAAATACTTTCAATAATTGAGACAAATTCAGTAGTCATTATTCAAGGACCAACTGGCTGTGGAAAGACAACTCAGATTCCACAGTTCATTCTCGATGCTAATACTAAGAAGAGACGTATTTGTAATATTATAGGTATATTTTTTTACAATTTTATTTTTAATTTTATTTTATAAATATTATATAATAAAAACTATAGTATATACATAAGTATAAAGTAAAGACACAAAATATTCAAAAATTATAATATTAATTTTAGTTACACAACCAAGACGAATTGCTGCAATTAGCGTTGCCAATAGGGTGAAACAAGAAGGACTTGGTAATCTTGTAGGCTATCAAGTGGGTATGCAGAAGACTATATCACCTGAAACCCGTTTAACTTACTGCACCACTGAAATTCTCCTTCAACATTTGATCCATACAAAACACATGTTAGACTATACACACATTATATTGGACGAAATTCATGAACGTGATCAACAATTAGATTTTCTTCTGCTAGTCGTTAAAAGATTATTACAAACGAATTCTGGACAAGTTAAAGTCATCCTCATGTCGGCAACAATTAATGTGATGAAATTTGCGAGATACTTTTCTACAAAAGTAGGAAATGAATTAATCCCGGCGCCAATTGTTCAGATTTCTGAAAAGAGAAATTTTGAGATTCAAACATATTATTTGGATGATATAGAGAATCTAGGACCTGTGAGTATATATTATAACAAATATTTAATAGTTATTTACAATTTTATGATTTTGTGTATTGATTTATTGTAATCTTGATTTATTACAATTTTTGTATTGAATTAAAATTATTATTTATTATAATCTTGTACATTAATATTATACGATATCATAAATATTATATTATGATATATAATAATATGATAAAGTGTATATAAATTTGTATTTTATAGATACCAGAAGTATCTAGTACGGAACCAAAAGTCACTCAAAATATGATCAACTTTTGCTCACTTATTCTCGATGCTCTAGATCAAATTGATACAAATAATAAGGAACAAAGTTCCAATTCGCCTCAGAGACATTCCGTTCTTATATTTTTACCAGGAGTATATGAAATTGAGGAATTATATAATTACTTGTTGATTTACCAAGGAGAAAAATTATGGGACCTAACAATTTTGCATTCATTGATTTCTGATGATGAACAGTATCGCATTTTTCAAAAACCGCCGGAAGGTTACAGACGTATTATACTGTCCACAAATATTGCCGAAAGTAGTATTACTGTACCTGATGTAAAATATGGTAAATATTTGATAAATTTCTCTTTTTCATACTTATTTACTCACTTAAATCTTAAAATTCCTCACGACTGAAGATCGTGGTCTCCATTTCATGCAATCACTCGAGAATGCACAAATTTTCTCCATTGAAAACAATGTATTAAACAATGTAATATATATGTTGTTGACGGATTTTGGATCTTTAATTCAGACAAAAAACAAATGCGCAGCTTTTGCGCTATGATCACCATTTATGAATTAGATGTTATAATTCTTGAGAAAAAAAATAATTGTGGAAAGAGATGTTGAGAGTATGAAAATTTTAAAATATAGAAAATAGTGATAAAATAATATAAATGAATATTATTATTTTATAGTAATTTATGATTGACAAGTGAAAAGATTAATTAAATATATATAATTTATAGTGATAGACTTTTGCCTTGTAAAATTATTGACATTTAATCCTGAAACTCATTACCAAAGTTTGCAACTTTGTTGGGCGAGTAAAACAAATTGTATTCAACGAGCTGGTCGCACGGGTCGTGTAATAGATGGCAGAGTGTACAGATTAGTGCCCAAAGCATTTTATAAAGTAAGTAATATAAGCTAATAATTTACTAATTGTGATGTATAACATTAAACTTTATGTTTGTATTCAAAATTGCATGTTTAATAAAGTCTGATATTTAATCAATAACATAAATAATAAATTTAAATAATTGTATCATATTTTTATAATTTTATTACAATTATTTTTTTTATCTTATTTACATAGGTAGTCATAGTATTTTTTTTTTAAAGATTTACAATTGATAAGTTATGCGCACATAATTTTTCAAAGTTTATGTATCGCATTCTTTCATATAATGTTTATTAATTACAGAATGTTTTGGACGATTATGCTATACCAGAGATCCTTCGTGCCCCACTCGCCAACGTTGTTCTCCGCGCCAAAATTCTTGATCTCGACGAGCCACGTGTCCTTCTTTCACATTCCCTTGATCCACCTACACTCTCGAATTTGGCAAATACCATTTTAAGCCTGAAAGAGGTCGGGGCCTTAGTAGATGAGGACGAGGATTCTTTTAAAATGTTTGACGGACATTTAACCGATCTCGGCAAAGTAATGGCGAATCTCCCGCTTGATATTCGAATTTCGAAATTAATCATGTTGGGCCACGTTTTCGGAGTTTTACGAGATGCTATCGTTCTGGGGGCCAGTATGGCCATCAAGGATGTCTTTATGGAGCAATGTCATCCTAATGTTTCCTCTTATATGACTCGGAAAAAATGGGCCAATAATTCCGATAGCGACAGCATTGCCACTTTAAATGTTTACAAGATGTGGCAGAATGAAAAAGCGAACCGTCGATTAAATTCTTATCAAGCTGAGAAACAATGGGCCAAGAGGAATGGAATCTACGCAAGAACCTTGCGTGAATTAGATGCTCTCGTGAAAGATATCACTGTCAGATTGCTGAGATGTGGAATTGAAGAAAGTGTAGGAATTAATAAAGTCATTTGGGAAGGTATATTAATTAATATTTTATTTCTTTTTAAATTATTTTTAAATTTTATAATTTGTAACTTTCCCATTTACTTCTAGGTGGAGATCGTGATTTCGTGCTTCAAGTCGTCCTTGCCGGAGCTTTCTATCCCAATTATTTTGTCAAACCTTTGCAAAATCGAGAGATTTATAAAGAAAATATTGAAATGACCCTGGGTGCTTTGGATCCCTTGAAGACTGTTTATTTAAGAGGTTGGCCAAAAGACCAACCTGGATATTTATACGCTAAAAGATTTCAGCAAATTTTTTCCAAACATCTGGGAATTCTAGAAAAGCAGATAGCAGTATCCTTTGATGGATCGCAACGTGTTTATGTGCAATTTCGCGAGAAGGAAACATGCGTTGATGACAGTCTTCAAAATATATTAGAACCTGTTTATCAGGTGATTATTAATTTATCATTTGTATTTATATTTTATATAAATAACATGAATTACACGCATAATATGAAATACACGCGCGCGTGATTACAGTACAAAATAACAATTAGTAATATAGTATGTTTGTTTATTTATCAGGCTGTCATGATGAGGTATTGCAATATACCAATCGAATTGAAGTTGTTGAATGTAAAAGAAGCAAATGAGAGAGCGAGACGTCATGATCTTCAGAAATTCCAAAGGACTCTTTATTTTCGTAGAAATTTTATAAAGACAGAGAATGTTGTACCGAAAATCAGACCACAATTACCAGGACTTGACGTAACAAACATACCTCTATTTGTACAAACTGTAAGTTTTCTTTTGTTTTATGAATTAGTAAAGAATAATGTTAGAATTGAGATAAATTTTTTATATATATATACGCTTTTTATTTTATATTGAAGAAACACCTATAATAATTTTAATGCTAAATATTATATCTATTTACTGACTACTGCAATTATCAATTATAAATTGATTATCTAATTATTAATATATTGAAAATCTTTTTTATTTATTCACTATTAATTAAATGTCTTAATTTTATATATATTTGAAATTATATACATATATTTCTTTTAGATCATCAGTCCTGGATATTTTTGGGCAACTCTTGATGACGATATCACTCATAGTGAAATACAAGTTATAGAAGAAATTCTCAATAAACACCCTTTGAAAAAGTTACGCTCTATCCCAGAAAAGTCAACCATAATCGCTGCTCCCATAGAAGGAAATAATTCTTTGATTTACCATCGTGCCATAATTAAGGAATTTATTTTAGAAATCGGAGAACTGGTCGATATTTTCTTTATTGATCTCGGCCATTTTTCTAGAAGACGATTTAGCGATCTAAAAGAAATTGATAATGCTAGAATCTTAGAAATTCCACCGTTAGCATTTTGTTGCAATTTAGCTTTTTTGCGACCTTCGAATCAAAGTAATGTTCATGGCCAATGGTCAGAAAGATCGAAAAATTACTTTGAAACACAAATCAAGAAAAGTAAAAGTATATTGGGAAAAATTTATTCGATTGTTGACAGCGTTATTAATTTAGAATTGATTGTTGTTAATGACAAAGGGAAGAGATTTAATGTTAATGAAGGTTTCATTGAAGAAGGATATGCTATAAGAAGGGAAGAAAGTTGTCTATCAAAGCTTAATCATGATTTAAGGGCAGATATTAGTATTGTCAACGCAATGTCGATTGATGAGAAAAAGTTTTACGAAGAGGAACAGTATGACAAAAGTCACTTATTCGATGTAAGTAAATAAGTTAAACTTTTGTATCAAAATTTAATTTATACTATTATTGTGACTAATAGTATAATAATTTATAGTAATTAATTTGTTGAAAAACTAATACATAAATTAATTTTAAATCAATGATTTTAGTATCCTGATCCACCTAAAGAAAAAGATTGCAGCTTGAGCGTAAAACTCCGAGGTCCATCTTCTCCCTTAGAAATGGAATTGACTCAGTTAACATTAGGCGAAAGATTGAGAAAGATACATGTAGATATGAATTCCGTCAATTTTATCCTTTTGGATAATGATCTCGACCAATCAAGACGTCTTTTGGTCGCTCAGAGTGCCACTCAGTCCATTAGAGATAATCTAATATTGAGAAATACTACTTTTCTGCCAGATATTCCCGGACTCGTGGCACTGCTCACGCTGATTTTTGCACCACGTATGGAATTGAGATGCAATTCGCGTAAGACTTATTACACTGGAGCTTTATGTGGTTTGGGCCCAAAGAATAATCTCTCTAATCGCGCTATATTTCCCGATCATGATATAAAAATTCAATTTGACGTAGAAATCACAATGGATGATGTGAAAGAGGTATCATCTTTACAAAATAATAAATTGAATAATAATTTCGCGATACATATCGTAAAATTACCTATATATTATTTTATACTGTTCATATTTTTTTGCCATCTATCGAACTCTCTATTAATGTTTTATAGGCAGATTATAACATTTTTCTACTACTATTACTTTTTTTTATTCTTTGTAATATTGTTCTTCTATCATTGTTATTAGCAGAATAATATATAACATGATAATCATTTTTAACAGATAAATAAATTGTGCCACTGGATGAATACTGGGATGTTTGAGTTACTTACAATTGCATTTCTGTATTCATCCAGTGGTGCAATTCTACTACTTCTTCTTTGTTTTATTCTTCGTAATATTGTTCTTCTGTCATTGTTATTAGCAGGATGATATATAACATAATAATCAATTTTAACAGATAAATAAATTGCGTCACTGGATGAACATTGGGATGCAACTAAGTAACTCCAATGATGAGGATATTATTCTTTGTCAAAACAAAATCCAACAGATTTTGCTCCAGCTAACAGACAAACAAAGAAAAACACGTCAACCAGAGAACGATGAGGTCGATTGTCTTAGCGACAATTGGAATCGCTATAACAGATCATATTTTTTACCATCCGTTCGAGAAAGTGTGAGAAAAGCGGAGATATATCCGATGCATAAGGCGTTAGAATTACGTGAAACAAATGGATATATGGAGGACATGCTGAATAATCTCTCACAATTGCAGAGTCTTGCCTACGAGTACGTGGTGATACGTAGTCATACATTTTTCTATACATATATTCGAATTATATTTTATATATTTTTATCTATTTTGTGTTAGGGATGCATGCAAAGTGGGAAACGTATCTGCTTTTTGTAAATTATGTGGAACTGAAACGCATGGCCTGTTGGAACTACGCGTTCATCTTTGTTCGAAACAACATACTGAGAAGGAGAAGATGTTGCATCGTCAATTACATTAAGAGATTACAATATAATCCTTTTAATCTGGAACTTTTTTTCAATTTAAGATACTATTTTAATAGCACAAACACAAGAAGAGAATATTCTTACGCGTTATTTTTTTTTTACTTGCCTCATTCTATGTGCTATACAACAATTGTGTATTATAGCGAACGTACAATGAGGATAGAATTGTGATATGCAGGGATGCTGTTCGAGAATAAAAGGATATTCATAAAATGGAGAGACATACAATTAAATCTACAATTAAAGCATTTTAAGTTTAATGACGTAATATCGTAATTATGGATATGACTATTTGTGATATGAATACATAAAAAGCTATTTTATGTATTTACATTTGTTGTCTATTACATAGATAGAGAACATTCAATTTTGTTATTTCTTATATTAATTGAAACATTGAGTTCTTTTATTTCTACCTCGAAAAAGATATATTTCTGTTGTACGTGCATTATTCATATTGTCTACATATATATGCTCTCTATTTTTCATTTTTGTTTTCTTTTAGATAATAGATTTTAAGATGACATACAATATTATTTTGTATTTTGTATTCTTTGTTCCTATTTGACGTAAGTTCAATATAATTATTGTTATTAGGCAGAAAAGAATATGCAGTATTTTTTGTATGAATATACAGTAAAATTGAAACGTGCATTAATGAACTATTTGTCTTGTAAATATCTCTCCATGTCCTAATATATATAATATATTGAACACTAAATTAATTTTAAAAAGTTCTAAAATACTAAAAGACGTACGTAATTCTTATAGAGTTGAATTATAGAATTTGAGTTGAAAATTTCAATGCAAATACACTTTTATTGATTACAAATATTTTGCAAATGTTCTGTACGTTTATTTAATTTCTCAAAAATTGCCAAAATATATTTATAAAAAAAGATATACTATGCAATTTAATTGTGCAAAACTCGAAAATTAAAAGATTCTTGAATGAGTACGATAACTGCATTGCAGGTCTATAATTACTAATAGTCGGTAAAATTACACGCACTTTTATCTATTTCGGAAATTGTAAATATTAAAAAAATCAACAAATTATTAAAAGAAATAAAATTACAAAGCATACATAGCAGTAATCAAAAGTAAAAGATATTATTTTAACAATTATTTTTTATTAATTATAATAGGTATATATGTATGTAATATGTATACAAGAGGTTTGAGGTTAGGTTAAAGTAAGATCACAGTACATTCACGTACTTAGGGACTGTGTGAAAAAGCGTGTATTATGCGAAAAGCAAACAAATATTTGTAGCTAATTAACCAATAACATTATTAGAAACGCAAGTTTTTTGTGTATTTCATTGAAATTCTCATAAATAGAATTTAACTTAATAATAATGAAACATAGATTGTTTGTTGATCGCTCTTTCCTACATGTGAATTTCTGCCGGAGATTACGTTATTGCACTTCCACTGTAACTGCAACTGAATCATGCAACTCTAAAAGATTAGCAGGTATTTTACATTATCTTATATTTTTCTCTCTTACATAGATTTGCGTACATTAAAGTCTGCAAGCAAGCGTGCATTAAGAATTAATTAAAAATTAATAAGATGAGGAAAATATTGTCTCACTGTGTTATTCTAAAATTTACATTATAATACAGATTTTCCTGCAACTTTTAAGCCAAAAGATGTGGAAAAAGGCTGGTATGACACCTGGCAATGTAATAACTACTTTGCATCATCCAGGACAAGGAGGACGTGCTATAATACACAAGAGGAAAAGGAAGCTAAAGAACCCTTCAGTATGATCTTACCACCACCTAATATTACAGGAATATTACATCTGGGTCACGCACTTACTGTTACAATCCAAGATGTTTTGGCAAGATGGTTAGCAAAAGTGCAAAAGTATATTGAGTATTAATAATATAATAAGCATATATATATATATATATATATATATAACATACCGCATACGTATAATGATATAAAATAATAGTCTAGAAAATCATAAAATATACCTGTGCTTTTTATGATTAAATTTATATGTGGATTATATTACTAATGTAACTCATAAACATTAATACTATTTTAATACTATATTATTATACATTATATGTTATGCTATTTTTATCGCGCTACATTTACTTATTATAAGTAAATTTACCATTATATTATAGATTTTTCTCTACTGCTCACGCACATACACACACAGGCACAGAATGAAGGGTCATCCAGTGTTGTGGATACCGGGTCTGGACCATGCGGGAATTGCGACACAGGCGATAATGGAACGTACATTGCGGCAGACACGCAATATTACGCGACACGACATAGGCCGTGCTGAGTTCACGCGACTAATCTGGCAGTGGAAGGCAGAGAAGGCTGCGATTATCAAGCAACAATTGAAAGCCCTCGGCGCTACGCTGGATTGGGACAGAGAATACTTTACCATTGATAAAGTAATATTTTTTACATATGCTATCTATATACTAATATTAGAATTTGTTATTCTATATTTATTTGTTACATTATTTTCATTTGTGCTCTCTAGAATCATAGTGCAGCAGTGACGGAAACATTTGTACGACTGAACGAGAGAAATCTGTTATACAGAGCTGAAGATCTTGTTAATTGGTCGCCAGCGCTACGCAGCACAATATCGGAAATTGAAGTCGAGGATTTTGTTGTGAACGGCAAGACGCGGCTTCAATTACCTGGCTATGATACCAAAATCACCGTTGGTCAGCTGATCAAGCTGGTCTACCCAATCAGAGATTCAAGTAAATATATAAAATATATTTGTACTAGTACATAACAGGCGCGCACTTCGCGCGCGCTGCGTATTGAATCCCATACATCTTCCAATAACATTTATACCAATTTACATTTTAATGAAACAAATTTTAACAATATTTGATAAAAAATAAATTTTCAAAAAAAATGACGCTTTGCGCGCGGTGCGTATTAAACTCCATACATCTTCCAATAACATTTATACCAAATTACATTTTAATTAAACAAATTTTAACAATTTTTAATAAAAT